TCTCTACCCTCACCAGTCTCTACCCTCACTAGTCTCTACCCTCACTAGTCACTACCCTCACTAGTCACTGCCCTCACTAGTCTCTACCCTCACTAGTCTATCCTCTACCCTCACTAGTTCCCCTCACCCACCGGCCTCCACGAACTGCTGGGGGTCGTCCCCGGCAGCGACGAGGTAATGCAGCCACTCAAGGGCGTGGCGCGTCACGGGCGTGTTGACATTCAGCAGCAACTCCAGCAGGCACCACAGCGTCTGGTGGCCACACGGTCATGTGTTACAGTGAGCACACATTCATTATTAGGTGCTTACAGACTCATCACATAGTAGTATTTGCAGACTCATCACATAGTGTTTACATACTTATCATAGAGTGTTTACACATTCATTAATTGTGCTTGTAGATTAATTCATTATATTTCATGTTGCTTCACGCCGCTCACGGACTCATCACATATTGTTATGCTTACAAACTGTTAGAGACGTCAGTAACTGTTTAGTACTACGGTACTACTGTATGTCAAGCAAGAGAAGCACAAATAATATAAGAACAAGAGAAGGAGGCCAGCTTACCCTGGACAGAGGTTGCCTGCCATTTTCCACTTGAAGATTTTCAATGCATTCTTGCTTGAGGTTTAACGCAACCTCGCGTTTATCCTGCCGCAGCAAAGCCACAGCAAGATCGTGGCTGTTGAGGTGCCTGAGACTGGGATGCAGGAGTAGCGTGCTGCTGCTGCTGCGGCTCAGCTTAGCTTGAGGAGACTCATCTTCTTTGGATGAGCTCGGTGACTTTCTGCTCACCAGCCTACTGGACAAATTCTGTTGTTCCAACTCTGATCGAAATGCCTGTTGGTTTGCAATTAGTACAGAATCTGAATATAGAGGTTCAGATTCAACAGATAATGGTTGCTCAGAAGATACAGGAATGCTATCAACTTCTGCTAATGGTTGCACCTCTGGAAAAAATTCTCGCATTGCTTGTTGGTGTTGCCGCAGAAGCTCAGGTGTTAGTCCACTAACTTGCTGGTCCCTATAAGCCTCCTGCTGAACTAAAAGTGTTTCAGAATCCATTGGTCCAGCAGAGGCTACAGAAACACTCATGTCTAAAGGCTCCTCCTGAGCACTCAATTGACCTGTGTCAGTTTCATCCGCAGAATCCCTTGCCAAACTTTGACTGCCTTGGGCAGATGTATTTGAAGGATGCATCTCCCTAGATGAAGCTATACCAGAAGTGGATGCAGTACTCAAATCCATGCTATTATTTGAGGAGCAGCTGACACTGTGAGTAAATTCAATCTTAATGGGTCATTGCCTCTGGAGCGGCTATGATGCGTCTTGGTTCCATTATCCCTTGGCAGCTTCTCAGCATCAACTTCCATAAAATGGCATCACTTCTGGAACAAAATTTGATCTGTTAATGAACTTTACATCCATGAAGCTTGAAATTATCAATGAAACAATGATACAGCACTTCAATATGAATAATTCTAAACAATGAATGTTGCTGCTCCCAATCAGACCTTAATGTATAATGTACATATAGTAACATAAGAAATATAGCACTCATAAGAATAGTATTAAGTCAAATCCATGAAAATCAATAGAATTCGACTATTCTTTTTGTAAGCTTGGCACTAATATGGTCCAAGTTTTCAAAATTATCACAGAGGTGAAAATAGGTACCTATATATACAGTGCAAACTACATCATAAGTCAAAAAACATCAGTCTTGTGGAGCAAAATTATCTTGTCAAACTAATGTTATTCATTATGAAATTTAGCATGATAATTTTTGGCAAATGGCTTTGAACTTTCCCATTTGTGTTGACAAGCCAATTTGAAAAGATCCTGCAAGGCAGCATCAGCAATAAAGGCTGGGCAGTTGCAAATTCAGCTGTATTATGTAGGTATATATAGCCCAAACAAAGAAAATCTTGGCTATGAGTTCAAACATTGGTCAAAATTTGTGCATTGAGTGATCGAAGTAATGACAAACAATGAGGTACCGTTTGACGTAACATTTTTGATAGAAATTGGCATCAGTAATGGTAAAATTTATTTTGAATGAATTTTAGCAAATCTGAACAATTGCATTTTGTTTGAAGTTACATGCATGTGATTGTGGACTGACTAGGTACTCTTAAAATAAATGGGTCTAGATCCTAACTGGAAAATTGGGCGGCGTCCAGCCATGGACCACACAAAAACGATCATGAATCTGCAAATTTCACCCATTTTTAGGCACTTTTTCCAATTTCTTCTGTGAAAAATATGAGTTTATTTTTTTCTAAAATAACCAGTGAAATGATTGCTTTCGCAGTAGGTATTTTACTAATGATTTTTGGAAACATCTGCCCAATGTTCCAAATTGAGATTTGATCTTATAATTAAGCCTAACTTCAAGTTCTTCTCAATTTTCAATTGAGCCTAGTGCTAGACACGGTGGCCCAGTGGTTCAAGTTCAGAGCCATTATTCAATTTTTACCATGAAATTAATTCAAAAAAATTTATAATACCTTAAAGTTTCAGAAATAACATAACATAGCAGTTTCAGCGTTTATTAGGCCATAGGCGGATGATAGGCCTGTTGCCAATTCTTAACATTGCAGAATATTCACAGTGCATTGCGGTCTCAAACACGCAACTCACTGCTTCAATTTTTCTCTGCTTAACCACCCGGCCTCCTTGCCAATTCTGACCAGAAACTGGCTCACAGAGCTGGGATCAAACCTGCACCTCTCTGCGGCCTGTGCCAATCCTGGTACTCTGAACTTTCCCCACTGGGCCATGCTCATGTAAATGGTAAATGCTGATGTAATTTTTTTGTAATTTTTGTATATAGGTGAATTTATAATTCTTTTGAAGATTTTCCCAATTTTCAAATAAAGCTTGTCTGATTTCCATCATAAAGATTAGAAAAATGGCAAATTTTCACTAAATTGCCATTTTAAAAAATCACCAGTTAGACAACTCCTTCCTATACAAAGTTGCTTTGATATTATCAAACTTGAATTTACCTAACTTGTCCAGTCCACCTTACACAGAACAGAAGTTAGAGTCTAGAGAATATATAAACTAAATAACCCTTAACCCTTTCAGGACGGATGTAGACTGTAGTCTACATTAAATTCTAGTCTATTTTTAGGGAATTTCTAATTACAATCTAGGATATTTTTAAACGCCGTTGCATAGAGTGCATCAACAGCTACAAAGTGGAACTAAGATTTGCTTCGTTGCGTCAGTAGTATGACAGCTATGATCGAGAGAAGATGATTCAAAACACGTTCCTGAGTCTGGTGAGTGTTACGCTGTTTTTTCATTATTTGATACCGTAAAATGGGGTAACTTAGACCACTTTTTGTTTTTTTAACAAAAACCCTCACAACTCAAAAACTATTTAACATAGAAAAATTTTGTAGATGGGCATTAAAGGCCTAATACTGAGGCTACATAACACAATAGAAAGATTTAAAAAGTTTGCATATCTAATAGGTTAAAAAATTAAGAATGTGATGTTCAACAAACTAAACTGCATGCACTACAGAAGGATGGCAAAGAGATGCATCTTGAAAATACTGACATGAAATGCTTTTTGGGAATTCTACTTCTAACTGGTATTATAAAAGTTCCCAGCTATCGGACATACTGGAAGAAAGGCCTGCAACTGGCCGCAATATCAGACATCATGAGTAGAGATAAGTTTGAAGAGATAATGAGATATATTCATTTCAACGACAACACGCAACAGAAGACCAGAGATGATCCCGATTTTGACAAGTTATTCAAAATAAGACCCATAATTGAATCTGTCAGAACAAATTGCCGGAAGGTATCACAGGAAAAACATCAAGTTGTAGACAAGCAAATCATTCCCACAAAATCTCGCATATCTTTGAAACAATACAATCCAAAAAAAAACTCACAAATGGGGATACAAAGTAATATCACGAGCAGGATCAAGTGGGTTTGTTTATGACTTCGAGATATATAAAGGCAAATCTCAGAAAAATGATGACCTTGGTGTTGGAGTATCTTCTGCCTATGTGCTTTGTCTTGCTGAAGGCATACCTAAGCACTTGAACTACAGTTGTTCTACGATAACTGGTTCTCTTCTGTTGAATGTTGATTTATCGTCAAAACTAAAGGAATCTGGAATCTTGAATGTATCTACTGTTAGAGCAAATAGACTGAAAGGATGCATCATGGAAAATGACGAGAAATTACAGAAAGAGGGACGAGGAAGTTTCGACTACCGTGTCGAAACAAATCGTGATGTAATAGCAGTGAAGTGGTTTGACTATAAGTCTGTTCACCTTCTATCAACTTATGCCGGCATCACTCCAGAAGACACCGTCAAGAGATGGGACAAGAAACAAAACAAGCACATTGAAATAAACAGACCATTTGTTGTAAAAGAATATAACAAATTTATGGGAGGCGTCGTTCTATGTGACATGTTGATCGAACTTTACCGCATAGATTTCAAATCTAAGAAATGGTACATGCAAATTTTTTTATTTATTGGACATGAGTGTGGTGAATTCTTGGCTTTTGTATAAAAGGAATTGCCATGTAAATGATGTAATGAAATCAAAAGTGAAGAGTCTGTCCGACTTCAAGGAAGATCTAGCCATTGGTTTGACGAGTCCAAGTTCAACTCCAAGAGGAACAGGAAGACCAAGCCACGTGAATGGAGCCTCCACCACAAAAAGAAGGAAACTCTCACATCCATTAGACGCCACACTCAGGAAGATGTATATAAATGAGGAAATTTCTCGCGCATATATAGTTTTTTATATTTTCTTCGCGCACGCGTTCGCGTAAATCACGGACATCAATTCCACGCGGCGTAGCACTAGGAGCGGGCCGCGGAGCCGTCCAACACAGTTCTGATTTAGACACAGTTTTCATCTGAATGGAATGGCAACATCGTCTGTTGATTTCAAGTAATGCTGAACGATCTTCGACTGTGATGTGTCCCTCTGAAGCTATTCTCATTTTTATTAATGTTTGTTGTTTGCCTCTATAATTAACCTTCATCGTTGCAATAAAAATGAAAATTTATAATTAAGATAGATTTCTTCCGGTGCCTGTGTTTTTTCATGCAATTAGCACTTATTAGTAAATGAATGATTTGCGGTGTGGTTCTTTAATCTTGACTTCTGCAGTTTGCGCAATCCCGTATGATTACCGTACGTTCCGTATCCGCAAGCGGAACGCGGAAGAGTCAGAAGTAACCTGGACATGTCTTACATTTTATTATTGTCAGTTCGACTCGCATAGTCAATATACTCGCGTATATTGTTAACTTTCTAAAGTACGGCGCATGGCGCATTTTTTACCAGCATTGTAAGGCGCACCGCGCAGGTCGTTAAAATGACAAAAAAAATTCCTGCGCACCTGGCACATCTTCCTGACCATGGATTAGACGCTGTACGTTTCGACAATATTGGTCATTTGCCATTTATTGCTGAAACCAAACAAAGATGCAAGTTTTGTGTGAAAGGTTTCACTAAAGTAATGTGCAACAAATGTAATGTAGGTTTGTGCCTTACTAGAACAAAAACTTGCTATGCTCAATACCATACTAAGTAGCTATTCGAAATTGTCTATGTCTGCCGGATGTAGACAAAAGGCAACATTTTGTAACTTTTTCAAATAAAGGAATATTTCATAACTATTGCTCTTTCTGTAATATTTAACACCTAAATAACTCATTTTTAGCATAAAAATATTTTATTTTGGATCACAAGATAATTCAGGCGTGAAAGGGTTAACAAGTTACCAGTAGATGCAAGCCTGCAGGGCAAAAAAAAACACACACACACCGGAATGCACATTAGTAAAAGACCCTGATGCCTGATTCATCAATTTTGTTGCACTTGCACACAGTCTGAGTCTGACGAGGTCAAATTTAAATCATAAATTTTTGCTCATTAGCAAATGGCAAATACTGTAAATCTGTTTACTGTTAAAGCCCAAGAAGACAGAAGTAAGATGTCACTCTCACTGAATGACTGATCGTTCATTTTCGCTAATAATAATGCAATTCCATGAACCAAATGATAAAAAGAAGTATTTTATTAATTACCTAAGAATAAGGAATATCTCACTACTTACTGGCAAATGAAATTTGTTGGCATGTAGGAAACTAGGAAGCAGCTGAGCCGCCTGAGCTAAAACTCTTACGAAATGCGCAACAACCGAACGAGCGACACGAACCACACTCAAAACGCTCCGATCACATACTGACGGTTCAGACGGCACTCACGGCACACAATGATGTTGACGGACGACCCGAAATGACGGATACATAGCGGACTGGGATTACGGTAAATGCAGAAAGCAAAACACAAACGTAGGAGGTTTATCAGTATTGCTAACTTGGACATTTTGAATTTACAAAAATATTTAATAAATAGAGCGGTAGTTGGTCGGTACTCGAGCCAGAGCAAATGTTTCATCGTTGCACGAGGTATACGTTAAAGCATCTCACGATCAGGAATTAGGGAAATAATAGACGCTTTTCTGGTCTGAGTATAGAACCCTGTATAAAGAACAGATTGTTACAAGTTACATAAATACAAAACATAGAAAACGATTATAAACAGTATAAATCAAATTAGCTATTTAAGCAAGTAATTAATACAGGATGACTGTTGCAACACTTAATACTTACTCTAATAAGAGGTTCTAGCGCAATGTACCAAAAATACTAAAAGCTGGAATGAAGTTCGCTATTGTCGTATTCGGCTGTGGTTACGTTCAGATATAAACAAATCTTAATATTACAATTAAATCTAATTCTAAATTTCTACATATTTTTATTATATTAATACAAAATCTTAAACTGAACCGCTACAACGTTTCGCTTAGTGGTGCTCTTCACATCGCACCGATGTTCAGCCACTATTCAGCTTTAACCTTATTTTGTGATAAATCTTGCCAGAAGCCAGTTTACAGATCTACAGAAGACCTGTCAAGAACATTGCAAGAATCTTCGACAGGCCAAACTTGACGTATTCATCAAAACCGACTCTACTATACTAACTAATTACAATCGTCAAAAAAAAAACTCAGAACGTATACCATTTTGCTCCTGAATTGACGTCTCGGCAAATTTACGGCCGTACTTAATTACGGCCGGAGTCCGGCCGCGAGACCGGCCGCAAGTACGGCCGTAAATTTGTTCGAGACGTCCTGAATTGTCGGTTGGAATATCCTAAAATGCTGTTTTGCTTGCCGTGAGAAGTAATCTTACGCATATGAATTTTTAATTTTACGCATGATGTGTTACTTTTGTAGATAATTCCAAACCCCTTTGTTGCTCAGTCGCGCCCCCGCAGGTTTCAGCTCGATCCACCTGAGATTTGAACGCTCGCTCCTGATGCGTTATCTGGCTCCTGTTGAGCCATAATTTTGTATCCTTCAAGTCCCTGACTGGCAACACCTGTAGCGTTATCTGGCTCCTGTTGAGCCGTTATTTTGCATCCTTCGAGTCATGAGCTGTCAACGTAATAATCCCGAAGTATTTTGTCGCATCACCAGTTTGCTAATTCCTACCAAGCTGTTCCAATATCTTCCTTTAGGATATTATTTTAAGAAAAATATGATAAAGTTGATCATTCAAATTTTGTAGATTTTAAAAGTGAACGTGATGTCTGACATATTAATTTCCGGCGGGCAAATCTGAGAAGACGTTGAACATCTAAATTTTTGTAGTTAGGAAAGTTCAGATGAAGTTCAACACATCATTTTCAGGATGAGCAAAAATTAGAACAGAGTTGCACGTTCAATTTCGTAGTGGAGAGAAATATTGATGGAAGTCGTGCATTTTCGCTTCGAAATGGGCAAAAAATGAGGGTAAGTTTGGCTTTTCAAAATTATTGTTTCGATAAGGTGAAATAAAGTTAGGTAAATCACACTTTTAATGGGGAAAAGTTGAGATCCTTGATGAAGTTGACAGTGAAGGCAGGATGGTAGGATTGGTTGGTCTCCTTCACGTGGATGGTCTTGCTATAAATCGTGACAGGTTCAACTCTGACGAACTTGTAACCTGCGCACGTCAAGCCCTCGAAGATCTGCGCACAACAATCACCAACACAATTCAGTAAGTATATTATTGAATGAATTGCACCAGCATATGGTGTATATTCATCATTTATTCGTTAAAATACACAAATCAGATTTGTTACTAATGGCGCTTTACATGAGAAGGATGAATTGGTACGCACGATAATTACGCGTGTATGGCGTTAGAACATATATTGTACACGGATTATTCTTATATGAGTGTAAATTCATGTACGAATAATCATTTAACAAAACTTATTACACTTTGTTGCTAATTTATGGTGCAAATTATCCTTTACTAGCACTATATTCTAACGAGGACTTAACTTTAAGCTAATATGGAATCATGCACGCATGATTATGTGCACGCAACTGCAATGTGCACGCAACTGCACATATTGTCTAATCTAAGGTGTATCACAAAAACTTCAAAATCGTAACTTCAACAATATTCATTTGCATTCGTTAAAATAGGTAATTTTAGCAATATAATCACCGAGCACCTGCTTTATTTTATAAAGATACTTTTCTCCTTAGTCATTGTTAATTTCGTTATAAAGGGAGGAAGCTTGTTTCACAAGTGAAGGGAGTGATTGTTTCACTATCGAAATAACGTTGCCGTACAAAAATTTCAACCGCAGAAAAAGTTTACAACTGCGATGAAAAAAAGGCTCATTCCTATGTAACGCAGCCGGGCATCTTCACGGCTTTTGACACAAAGCGCCCACCACAACAGCGCCGCTCAGTCACATGCCGCAGCGCATACAGGCCGGAGGCCCGGAGCACCACTGGCGCAGCAGGCCCTACCGCAACAGCTATTCCTAACGTAACGTAACCTAACCTAACCTTCGCCGCCTGTTGCGCTCCGGCCAGTTGGGCTCCGGCGCTGTGAAGCAGTAGCTGTGTTGTGCACAGCGGATTTACTGTTAGCCGGAGTTACCCACAGCTCATTTGTCTGAGGCTATGTCTAGATATTGCATGCTGATGGTTGGCGTTAGGCCCAGGGCCTGTTTACGAGTCAATTTTGTTACCCACGGCTGCGCTCCCAATCTACTATCATTGAACAAATGACGTTAGAATCCCAACTATTTCAACAGAATTTACAATGAATTAAAGTCGAACCTGATAAAAAAGCTTGAACAAGAAATGATTGAAGCAATCACCTATAACATGACATGGAATAGGCAATCAACAATCAAATGAAGCTGCACTCGATTCCTGGAATGAGGCTACCGTCATACAGGTAACCTTCGTAAGTGTTTTGGACGTAGCAGTCCCAGGCCACGCTGAAGGCTCGCATCACCACTACCACCATTCTAGCATTTGTTTCATTAATATATTTCCACCGAGATCTCCTTAAAGAACTCATACTGCTTCGCTTGTGAAGAATTACCTGTCTAATGTCAACCTCGTTCCTGAATTTGACGATCTGCTTCAGAAGCAAATTTCCCAAGGAAGGAATGTCGCTCTTGACAAATTTAATTTCTTTTCGCTCATGGGCAAGACTTGTGATTATGAAGTCCAGTGGTCGGTATTGGTTAATTTTGTGGTAAAGATGTCGCCCGAAGACCGTGTCGTCGTACCGAGACTGGACGTCCACTCTTTCGTCTCTGTGGTCGTCAGACAAAATCCACGGATGTTGGATGTAGAACTTAGAACGCTGGATGCGGTCGAACCCGAGAGTCTGATAGAAAAGTCAACTAAAGAAATAAACAAAAACTTCAACATTAATTAAAAATGCTTTCGAAATGTTCCTTATTCGAATACCTTATTATGAATACTGTGAGGTATTCGGTTAAGGATGAATGAAATTAGATTGAAAACTCCGAGAAGCAGTGAATGCAGTGAATATTTCGGAATGTATTAAGGACATGAATGTGGCTGAGTCATGGTCACTTCTCAATGACACGGTTATGTCTGCAGTTGATGCGTATGTACCTAAAATTAAGCTTGGTGGAGNATTAAACAAACTAACAACTTTCAAGTGCAGACAGAATAGAAACAATTTTGATACTCTGAATGAGACTAAATCTAAATCCTCTTGCAAAAATAAATATTGTATATGCAGGTCAACACGTTTTCTACTCACTGTAAAAGTTCTCCTTAAAAAAATAACACAATTAGTCTTAGTTAGTTTAAGTTAATTGATCTGCAGTAACTGTTACATATACATATGACTATTTCTCTGGTTATCCAAACATAACTGATTGTATGAAGTAATTCACATTGAAATTAACTAATGATGGGTTTATTTGACAACATATCTTGTGACTGATGAAGGGCATTTGTAACAACGCACCTTGTAACTGATTCAATGTTTATGTAATAACGCACCTTGTAACAGACTAAGGGTTTATATAATAATGCACCTAAACAGACTAAGAGTTTATATAACAATACTCCTTGTAACAGACTAAGAGTTTATATAACAACACACTTTGTAACTGACTGCAGGTTTATATAATAACGCACCTTATAACTGACGAAGGAATGCACTTCGCAGCTGAAAAGCTCCATGTCCTTCTCGAACTGGTTGTCCGTAGGTTCCGAAAACGCATAAACGAGGCACGGGTCTTCGTTCATTTTGTATTCAGGATTGAAGCAAACATATTTGCTGCCATACAGGTCATCAGTGCACTGTTCTCCGGTCTGCACAGCAAAATATCAATCATGAATTTCATCATTTATTTCTGGCCAGAAACTGGCGCACAGAGCTGGGATCGAGCCCGCACCTCTCTGCTCCAATCTTTGTGTTCTGTACTGTAACCACTTGGCTACGCTAATCAATAATGACTCATAAATCCAATGAAATATTAGGATAATACATGTATTCACATGATGCATATAGATTTAATAGACCAATCACATGTAAAATTCGTTTAGTTTTAAAGTTGAGCTCGCCCCCGAACTTGAGCCACGCGTAGCAGAACTTAGCGTCGGGGTTGAGCAGCGCGGCGAAGAAACTGGGCACCCCGCCGTAGGGCGGCAGTCGTCGCGGGCTGCCCGCGCACAACTGCGGGGGACGGGCGGTGAATATTTTCTAAGATTGGCGTCTATAAGTGATGTGATTATCCTGGGGTAGACTCTATTTATGAGTGTTACACTGAGGAACACATAAGGTATAACGCTGTATAATTCAGTGGGGTAATACGCTGAGTAATACATACAAAAAAAATAACTTAGTACTCACTGCAGTGAGTGACAGAGAGCGCATTTTCTCGTCGACGAAAACATGAAGTCACGGACGGACAGACAGACGGACAAACGAACAGACGGGCATGGCGAGCACAATAGTGCATTTTTTCATAAATGAGAAAATACGCTAAAAAGAGGAAGGAGACATGGCGTAAACTAACAATGAAAGAATTTGTGTATCTGAGCCCAGCTGCAGGGAATAGGCCGTGCATATTTTGTGTGTGCGGCATCGATACCTTAACTATCATAATATTTTTGTCTATTGACGCTAAATATATATGTACCCATATTTTATTGTTGAATAACTTGAGTATGTGAAATTTTCCTTGACTGTCTTGATTGTCTAATAACATCTATCGAGAATGACTATCATTCCAACGATCAATCTCATGCAAGATAAGTGGACTTAATGGAATTTCTTAAGTTTCAAAGTTAAAAGCGATTCATGAGTCGGGATGAGGCGGAGTGAGTAAATATAAGGCATGATTCATCCGCGAGAACGCGTAAATGGAAACGAATTTTGTTTGCATGCGCTGTGTTCACCACTCCTCTGATGACATGGTTACGAATGATTTTATTTGTGTTTAAAATGCAAAGGTAAATGCCTCGATATTTTTTAATGTAATACATAAATTATTTAATGTAAATTATATAAAAAAATATCAATTATACCCAAGAATATTATTTAATTACATTCAAACTGAATTATTTCCACTAGGTTATTAAATGACGTGGTGGAGGCTGAGGAGGTGGAATGGTAGTGGTGGTATGACAGAACCACTGCAACTACCGACAACACTACGACCATCACCACCACAGACAGAATGGTTGATGATGGACGACATCCATACATCGGGTGACACTTGGGCTTCTGCTTTACAGAAAAGGAGAAATTAATCTTATTTAAAATTGTAATCAGTTCAACTCTTCTGAATTGTTAATGATTTCATCGAGGGACAATTGCAAATAATCAATATTAAAAGCTGGCGGCAATTATACCCGTTATACGTTAATTAATTTCCCACATACGTAATTCAGAAACATTGTATTTTGAATACATTTTCTATTTTCGTAATTCAGAAACATTGTATTTTAAACAAATTTCCCATATACGTATTTCATAAATATTGTATTTTAAAGAAATTACTACTCTAAAAATATGTCGCTACTTGAATATTGTTCCTTTGCCCGCTATCGGCCAAATGAGCAATTAGACATATTCCAAATTATTAATCAATTATGATAATAGAACGCAATATATCACGGAACATTCGACACAAAATATGGCATATAAAATTGGCAATCTCAGTCAGTTGCAACTGCATACGAGTTTTTGTGAATATTGCATAAGAATATTTGTAGCACCCGTGAATGAATGGTCCAACGTATAAATTTTATTCACTCTGTTTCAGATCGTGGTTTTAGCCTTTCGTGGGAGAGTCCGCCTAGCAGACGTCCCGTACATATAGGTACATGACTCACTTTGTGTACATGACTTACTTTGTGTACATGACTCACTTTGTGTACATGACACACTTTGTGTACATGACTTACTTGTTTGTTTCAAAATAGAGAGAATAAGATATTTATGTATGCTTTATTTTATACATCTGTAGATAAATTGTTAAGGACACTGAAACTTACCCGTTCACCTTTATTTCCTCGTTGAATTTCCATCAAATAGAGTATAAGTATTTAAAACCTTTTATTAAATACAACTTATTTATTTTGCACTAACGTTACGCTATGAATTTAAAGTGATGATCACGCTTGGTAACACTTCTCTCACCAGCCGCTTCGAAGAGCTCTATAAATTCATGAGGATAACAAAAGGGACTTAGAAGAAGCTTTATAATGATGTTTTTCACGAGTTTTTAGTTTGAAGGATTTCGTGTACAATTTTCCTGGGCGGAAAATAGCGCTGCCACACAAGCGCTCGAGCGGCCGAGCTGGCAGCGAAGGAGCTTCATGAGGTGTTATCTCGCACCCTATGTGGTGTTATCTCTGACCCAATAGGTGTTATCTCGCACCATATGTGGTGTTATCTCTGACCAATAGGTGTTATCTCTGACACTATAGGTGTTATCTCGCACCCTAAAAGCGTACTTCATTACCGTTTACACGTTAAAAAAAGCTCGGTGAAAAATGGAACCACAACTATATAAATATTTCGGCATTAATAAATCTCGAAATTCATTCAAATGTTCATGTAATGAATTTATTACATTACAATTCTGAAAATGATTGTATTTTCATGATTGTATTGGCCTCATTTGAATTGTAATTTATTACATTACAATTCTGAAAATGATTGTATTTTCATGATTGTATTGGCCTCATTTGAATTGTAATTTATTACATTACAATTCAAATGAGGCCAAAAGACTGAAGTTTGTTATTGAAAGGTAAACTGGAATCTGTAGGAAGGCAAAATAAAAACAAATATATTTACTATTTAAATATTGGCAGAAAATTCAGGAATACAGGAGTGGCACCTGGTGACAGGAGTGGCGGCTGGTAAGAGAAGTGGCGGCTGGTGACAGAGATGTGTATAAGAGACAGAGACTGTACGTCCACTCTTTCGTCTCTGTGGTCGTCAGACAAAATCCAGGGATGTTGGATGTAGAACTTGGAACGCTGGATGCGGTCGAACCCGAGAGTCTGATAGAAAAGTCAAATAATGAAATAAACAAAAGCTTTAACATTAATTGAAAATGCTTTCGAAATGTTCCTTATTCGAATACCTTATTATGAATACTGTGAGGTATTCGGTTAAGGATGAACGAAATTAGTTTGAAAATGAGTCAACATGAATTGATCCTCGCTCTTCAAAATTGTTTCACTAACATTGAGTATATATTACCATTACGGAATGCTAAGTAATTCTAAAAAATAGAGATTTGATTTAACAATTAAACATACGAACAACTTTCAAGTGCAGACAGAATAGAAACAATTTTGATACTCTGAATGAGACTAAATCTAAATCCTCTTACAAAAATAAATATTGTATATGGAGGTCAACACGTTTTCTACTCACTGTAAAAGTTCTCCTTAAAAAAATAACACAATTAGTCTTAGTTAGTTTAAGTTAATTGATCTGCAGTAACTGTTACATATACATATGACTATTTCTCTGGTTATCCAAACATAACTGATTGTATGAAGTAATTCACATTGAATTTAACTAACGATGGGTTTATATGACAACATGTCGTGTGACTGATGAAGGACATTTGTAATAACGCACGTTGTAACTGACTGAAGGTTTGTATAATAACGCACCTTGTAACTGACTGAGGGTTATATAATAACGCACATTGNTCACCCCTGCACACGTGGCCATGTCAGTAACTCACCCCTGCACACGTGGCCATGTCAGGAACTCACCCCTGCACACGTGGCCATGTCAGTAACTCATCCCTGCACACGTGGCCATGTCAGTAACTCACCCCTGCACACGTGGCCATGTCAGGAACTCACCGCTGCACCCCTTCTTTGCAATTAGTTCAATTACTTGAATTACTCTGACAACACCAGAGTTCGTTAGGCGAGCATTGCTGCTTTAAAGCATCAATGTTGCGCGATATTCCAAAAGTATATCCAATAATACACAGTGAAAATTCAGTGCACATTTAATACAGCTCTGGGCATGAAAAACATACAAGTTTATATAACTTGAAGGCACCATCACATAATATTCAGAAACGCTACGATGCACTAAATACATGTATGTATACAGCGCATTGTAGTGCAATGCATGTATTCCCTCCCCTCACAGCGGGAGGAGAAATAAAGAAAACGGAGGCAAGCTCGGGGATACTTCGTTAAAATCAGAAATAAAGATGGCGACACAGCTCGAATTAATCACAGATCCTTACCATGAAGACGACACACGGCACCACAGAAAGTACGGGTACAGTTGTAGACTGCACTGATACTGTGTACAGTGACTGTACCATGACCCAGTACACAATATCAAGCACAGTACTTGGAGAAACAGCAAAATGTTACAATACTATATTACCTATACGAGTATATGTGCGTTAAATTACAACAAAATTTAACAGTGTTTAGTAAAGGTAGGAAGAAATAGCACGAAGATTAAAAACTCTTCAAATGATGAATACAAAATTTCACTGATAAATATGAATACCGTTGAAGCAATAGTACCCAGACATAGGCAGGCACATACTACTACTATACAGACCCAGGAACTATTCGTTACAATAAAGTAAGTTAGTTAGTTAGTTAGTGGCCAAATGTTTATTGCGCTTCAGCTATTTAGCTATCTCGCACCGAAAGTCAAGATGAACATCACCAAAGAGGTGGAAGGTCTCAGTTATCGAAAGTTTCTAAAATCAAAAATTGTTCATCACCCACAAGGGGCGGAATGTCTCAATTGTCCAGCCCGCTGAAGCTGGCTCGAAAGAAGCAGCGTTAGCATCTCAAAGAGACGAAGTGACAAGGAGGGACAGGCAACAGAAACGAAAAAAAAGCAACAGAAACGAAAACACTCGAACAAGATGTCGTTAACACGGGACGTCGGCCGCCCGCACGAGAGAGACAGAGAAGGAGAATGTAAGGAATCCTACCTACATAATAACTTAACCCCACAACTGAGACCTGCTGTCAGACACCGCGAACTCAGAGGTTGGGCGCTCAGGAACAATCCCCCTAGGAGCGTGAAATCCCACAGGACTTCTGACGAGCGTAGACACGAGTCAGGATTCTCCCCTGAGGGGTACAATAAACTAAACTGTGACCACAGAAGCCGGGATATGTGCCACGACATCCCGCCAGATCCTTTATCTTCCTGACTTTGGCAAGCCAGACCGGCGCCTTTAATGATGCAGAAGAATCGAATGAAAGGTTTGCTTTCAATCGAATAAGGCAGAATGCATTTCTAGAGTGCTAGCTATCTCTAGTGTAAGGCAGACATCATGTCTAGATAGTTAGTTCACTAAAATAAAGCTCAAGGCATGTCTAGAGTTTCAACAATCACTATTGTAAGGCAGAGGACATGTCTAGATAATTAGTTATCACTAAAATAAAGCTCAAGGCATGTCTAGAGTTTTAGCAATCACTAGTGTAAGGCTGAATACATGTCTAGTTAGTTAATCACTAGAATAAAGCTCAAGGCATGTCTAAAGTGCTAGTTATGAGTATGATGATGAGGCACAAGACGATAGTTATGATACTACAACAAGGCAGTAGGTACGTCATTTGAGATAAGTAAGGCAGAGATCACTTCTATTTAATTTCTTATCACATTAAGAGATGCAGTCACAACACATGTCTAGATCATTCCTCATAAGTACATAAGACACGCCTAATAAATTTGCTATGACAAAATGAACCACAAAAAATATCTCGTAATTCCTTATCACAAAATAGGAGATGGTGTGTCTAGGGTGAATTTCTTATCAGTCAGCCGTAAGACTTGTCAGGTTTAGAAAATTAGAAGCGGAATACTCAGAGATCCGACGTCATAAAATGCAAACGATTATTGCAAACTTAAGATCATCGTAAGTCAAGACATAAGTTAACGTTAAGAAACCTAATTTTGCAAATAGTAAAAAAAAGTGTCGTTCGAGTAAAAAAAAGTAAAATGTAAATGTGTGAGAAAACGTACGCAATGAAATTTTAATGAAAACATTAAGAAAAAAACGTTTAAACAAAGTATTTTTGTACACTGTCTGAAGAACAAATGTTCGCGTCAACACTAAAATTCAGTCTAAACACATAAATGGCCAACATTAAAATATATCCAAACAAAAGTGAAAATACTAAGAACGTCGACGCAGGGAAGTTACTGTGACAAACAAACTGGTACTGATAGAGTTGCACAGTACACTCCGGCAGGGTACAATCCTCTTCTTTAAACTGTTAAATCCTAAACTGTGTAGTGTACGGCCCCAGCCCGGTTACTGTAGTGCACAGTCCAACTCTACAGTGCAAACACCGGGTGCACTGTAACACACACAGCCCGGTATTGTGCACTGTAACACATAAACAGTACAATACCGGGTGGAGCGTGAACATGCCGCGTCTCGACACAACTCGCTGGTCATTGTATACAAATATGTTCACTTACACATACAGTACAATACATAAACATGAGCGGAAATACAGTACACATAATTCATACAAATATATGGACAATCCCACGTACCAGCAAACATTTTACACACAAAATAATACACATGTATACTCTATTCTAATACAACTAATGGAGCTGGCAGTGTGACATCCTGCTATTCTATGTCTGCGATATACTAGTGGCGTCACGGGTGAATGTGGTTGAGATTGTAGGTGGGGTTGTGGCGACGTTCCTTCCTGATGGAGCTGACGTCCTCCCCCGGCGCGAGGTTGAAGGCCCTAACGTCGACGTCGTCCAGGGAGTTCAGCAGGTTATGGTGCTGGTTGTTGTGTTGGTTGTGCTGGTTGTGGTGGTGTTCGGTGTTGACGTAACCCGAGTTGATGTGGTTGTTACGGGGGGAATGAGATAGGGATATGTTTTGGGAATGAGGCTGTAACGAGATTCGAGACATGGGTTGGGCTTGGGAATGGGATTGAGGTTGGGAATGAGGTTGAGAAATTGGTTGAGTTTGGGAATGGTGTTGAGAGTGGAGCTGAGAAATGGGTTGAGGTTGGGAATGGGGTTGGGTGTGGGTTTGAGAAATGGGTTGAGTTTGGAAATGGGACTGAGAGATGGGTTGGGGTTGGGAGTGGGGTTGAGAATTGGGTTGAAGTTGGGAGTGGGGTTGAGAAATGGGTTGAGTTTGGGAATGGGGTTGAGAGATGGGTTGGGGTTGCGAGTTGGGCGGAGGAGATGGCAGGGGCTGGGGTTGGTTGAGTACACGAGAACCGGAGGCGGGGATGACCTCCCCACCTCCGGGTGCTTGTCAAATGTTCCCCACGTACGGGGGAGGAACCTCGTCGTCCTCGTCTGCCCGCGGCACGGCCCCGAACACCGTGGAGTACGGGGGGGAGGAGGGGGAAGGGGAGGCGGGGGTTGGTGGGGAATACTGCGGAAACTGGCTGCCCATTATTCTATTAACAGGAAAATTAAAATGAGTATTCGGTTTCTGGTTATTGAAATTAGTGTTACCGGGACCATTTGTCTGGTCGTAATATTGGTTGTTATTGCTTTGGTGGTATTGGATTGTTGGTGGCGCCTGATTCTGTTGTTGATATTTTTGTGGCTGCTGTTGTTGCAGTGGATGATGTTGCTGAAGAGCTTGGTTGTATTGGCTCTGCTGGATCTGTGAGTGTTGCTGGAACTGTTGTCGTTGTTGTTGCAGGTGTGGATGTTGATGATGCTGCTGGTGTTGTGCTTGCTGTTGCTGCAGAAAATTGTTTTGTTGTTGTTGTTGTAGTGCAGTTTGTTGGTGTAGGCGAGAAGGGCTCGCGACGCCGCTGCTGACGGTCGAGTTGTGCAGAGACTCGCTCGTGGAGATGGAGGGGGACAGCTGGTGCACGACTGTGGCAGCTGGTACATAGTTACCACGACCACCTGCAGGTGTAAGGGCATTACCTGCTGATGGTCCAACAATGGACGTGGTGGGAGGGACATTAGAAAAGTTGGAAGTACTTGAGGGAATCGCGGTGTCCGGAACTCTGATTTCTGAAGCAGTCAGGGCTGTTCGCCGCTGTTCGGAGTTACTGAGGATTGAATTCTGCGAGCCCCGAAGCCCCTTCCCCGCCTGGTGGGGAAGGGCGCGTCCAAACTGCAGTCCCCCACTACCATGAGGAAAGTTACCTAGCATACCTGGGGCAGTACTACTTGCCAGATCATCCGCGGACGCCCTCAGGTTAATTTGATTGAGGTTGGCTTGGTTAATAGCAGCGCGTACACCGTGATAGTTAGAATAGGAGGAGTGGACGGAGGGAGGGCGCTCCACAGGGTCAGGAACTGCAGCCGTAGACGCCAGGGAGTGCAGTGACACGGGCCTCGAGTGTACGTACATGGGGTTCGAGTGCCCCAACCTGCCGCTGGGACCTACACCCCCTACAGCCCCCACTACCCCACCAGCAACCGCTGGTGGGCAATCTGTGCTGGTGGATGAGTCATCCATCAGTTGGGTTACGGGGTTCACATACTGGGATCTGTTACGGCCTCGTCCACTGGCGTTATTACGAGCCGACCTCCTGTGGGAGTTGCGACCAGTGCGCGCGCCAACTCCCGCCAGAGACCCAACGCTGCCGCTGGTGTAGTTGTTGGCAAAGTTGGTCTCGGGGGTTGGATGTGCCGGGGCTGTGCCTCGGGTCCTGGTATCCTGATGACCTCGGGATCTAGAACTGCTTCGGTTACGGTGATGCCTCTTAACCCTTCTTGGGGTTAGGGTTGATGAAGCCTGCGGCCCCGCCGTGTCCCCGGAGGCTGGGGGAGGAGGCAGGAAGGAGCTGTTGGTGCTGTTGTATTGGCTGGTGAGCGTTCCTAGCGCTGGGGACTCCAGGTCTATAGAGTCCCCACTGTCCTCGTTGTTGGGGCTGCAAACAAATACAGAATCAATCAATACAATCAATGTATACAATCAAGGTATACAATCAATACAAATTATACATTTGAATCAATTATACAGTTGAATTTATACAAATTACACACGACATTTAAACAAGCTTTTTTCACTGTGACGTGGATAGCTTCATTGCTCAAAGCAGAGAGTATTTATTCATAATTTGCACAAGTTCTTTTAATGTTTTTAGACTCGCGTGTAGAGAGAGAATGTCTCTCGCGTGTTCCTAGCCAAAAAATGCTCAACCCAATTTTAAACTATGTATTCATTGAAGAAATCTAAAATGAACGACAATCAAGTTAATAAAAGGCGCAGTGTGTAATATTTTTAATAATTTCTGTATAATTTAGTTTATTTCATAAATACTTTGGTTGAAGTGATTGATCAATTCGGTACCAGTTAAAACATTGATATGACTATCTGAAACGCGTGATATATCAAATACATGTAGGTATATATAGCACCAATTAATGTAGTATACAACTATACATGTATAGTAGAAGTTAATGAGTTGTACAGTGAGCGCGTGAAACTAACCTGTACTCAACGGAGTAGATTGACGTGGCCCTCGTCTTGCCCTGACCTGCACACACAAACAGATTAATGAGGGCCAGCTTAATGAGAAGGCATGTTAAAGTGGAGCAGGTTAATGAGGAGGCAGGTTAANAATGGTTGTATGGAAGAGGGAGATGCAATGGTTGTATGGTAGAGGGAGGTCCAATGGTTGTATGGTAGAGGGAGGTGCAATGGTTCTATGGTAGAGGGAGGTGCAATGGTTGTATGGTAGAGGGAGGTGCAATGGTTGTATGGTAGAGGGAGGTGCAATGGTTGTATGGTAGAGGGAGGTGCAATGGTTGTATGGTTGTGGGAGGTGCAATGGTTGTATGGTTGTGGGAGGTGCAATGGTTGTATGGTTGTGGGAGGTGCAATGGTTGTATGGAAGAGGGAGATGCAATGGTTGTATGGTAGAGGGAGGTCCAATGGTTGTATGGTAGAGGGAGGTGCAATGGTTCTATGGTAGAGGGAGGTGCAATGGTTGTATGGTAGAGGGAGGTGCAATGGTTGTATGGTTGTGGGAGGTGCAATGGTTGTATGGTTGTGGGAGGTTCAGTGGTTGTATGGTAGAGGGAGGGGCAATGGTTGTATGGTAGAGGGAGGTGCAATGTTTGTATGGTAGAGGGAGGTGCAATGGTTGTATGGTAGTGGGAGGCGCAATGGTTGTATGGTAGAGGGAGGTGCAATGTTTGTATGGTAGCGGGAGGTGCAATGGTTGTATGGTTGTGGGAGGTGCAATGGTTGTATGGTTGTGGGAGGTGCAATGGTTGTATGGTAGTTTGAGGCGCAATGGTTGTATGGTAGTGGGAGGCGCAATGGTTGTATGGTTGTGGGAGGCGCAATGGTTGTATGGTAGAGGGAGGTGCAATGGTTGTATGGTAGNACCGACGTACCCGCCACCTACCGACGTACCCGCCACCTACCGACGTACCCGCCACCTACCGACGTACCCGCCACCTACCGACGTACCCGCCACCTACCGACGTACCCGCCACCTACCGACGTACCCGCCACCTACCGACGTACCCGCCACCTACCGACGTACCCGCCACCTACCGACGTACCCGCCACCTACCGACGTACCCGCCACCTACCGACGTACCCGCCACCTACCGACGTACCCGCCACCTACCGACGTACCCGCCACCTACCGACGTACCCGCCACCTACCGACGTACCCGCCACCTACCGACGTACCCGCCACCTACCGACGTACCCGCCACCTACCGACGTACCCGCCACCTACCGACGTACCCGCCACCTACCGACGTACCCGCCACCTACCGACGTACCCGCCACCTACCGACGTACCCGCCACCTACCGACGTACCCGCCACCTACCGACGTACCCGCCACCTACCGACGTACCCGCCACCTACCGACGTACCCGCCACCTACCGACGTACCCGCCACCTACCGACGTACCCGCCACCTACCGACGTACCCGCCACCTACCGACGTACCCGCCACCTACCGACGTACCCGCCACCTACCGACGTACCCTTCACCTACCTACAGACCCCTCACCTACCGACGTACCCGCCACCTACCGACGTGCCCCTCACCTACCGACGTACCCCTCACCTACCGACGTACCCCTCACCTACCGACGTACCCCTCACCTACCGACGTACCCCTCACCTACCGACGTACCCCTCACCCACCGACGTACCCCATGCCCCTCCACGTACCGCCAGCAGACACTGAAGGGCCGCCTGCACGGTCTCGACGTACTCGTAGCTCAGCAGGCAACCGTCGACCCGTTCAGGCCGCAACGGGCGGGACAAGTCCAGACCCGTGAAGTCCACGGGGTACACGGGCACACACCCAGGCCCGTTAACCTGCACACAGACGTACTTAGTATACGCCCGTTAACAATTATATTTTGTTATCATACTTCTGAATGTAACCTCTCATACGAGATAATATAGAAGGTTTGCCCAGCGTCATTTACTTAATACCTAATCCCGTTAATAATAACAAACCTTCAGAATAACAATTACATAAAGACTTCTTCAAACCCATATTTTACAGAGAAGATGGGAATCTAATTTTTCTCTTATTTCAAAATTCTTGAAAAATTATTTTGCGCCTGCAAAATTAAATTTATATTTACCAGTTACAAAATCAAATTCCAATTTTCGATCCACTCGTTCCCCATTTTCCGCCATTCCTTCCCGCCTTTTCCTAAAATCCGTCTCTCCCTTCCCCAATCCTTCCCTCCCGTTTTCCTCCACTCTTTCCCTCTCTTTTCCCTGCTCCTTTGCTCAATTTCCCCATCTCTCCCAATGCTCCAATCCTTCAGTTCCTTTCCCCTACTCCTTCCCTTCCTTTCTCCCATCCTTCCCTTTCCCCCACTCCTTCTCTCCAATTATTTCCTGCCATTCCCCCAATCCTTTCCTCACTTTCTTGCAATCCTCAACTAAAAGCCCAGCCAGTAAAGCCCTCCTTAGTACCTCCAATTAGGTCTTGGGTAGTCACCGGTCCGTAGCTACCTAATACACCATGCCGGACATGGTGCACCTAGATGGACTACACCTAGATGTGCCCTACAGCCCACATCTTAGATCTCGTGCAAGCTAAATAGCATTTACCTAGATGAGGCTACATGTATTCCGTAGCTCACACCTCAGACCTTGTGTGGCCGAAAAAAGATCCTAGCCCTACATCCGACACCTTGTGTATGACGCATTCTAGATGTCATACCTATAGATACTAGATGTGTGACGCATTCTAGCCAACACACCTAGCCACTAGGTATGTGAAAAAATCTAGATAATAGGTATACCTAGCCAGTGCCACTAGATGTATGACGTATTCTAGATAACACACCTAGCCACTAGATGTATGAAGCAATCTAGATAACACACCTAGCCACTAGATGTATGAAGCAATCTAGATAACACACCTAGCCACTAGATGTATGAAGCAATCTAGATAACACACCTAGCCACTAGATGTATGAAGCATTCTAGATAACCCACCTAGCCACTAGATGTATGAAGCATTCTAGATAACCCACCTAGCCACTAGATGTATGAAGCAATCTAGATAACCCACCTAGCCACTAGATGTATGAAGCATTCTATATAACACACCTAGC